AGAGAGAGAGAGAGAGAGAGAGAGAGAGAGAGAGAGAGAGAGAGAGATTTCTTTAAGAAAGAACAAGCTGATCTCTGCAAGCCATCCTATTGTGTTGATTTAGGAAGATTTGCTGTATATAACATTTAAGGCTGATAATATCATTGAACAGTCAGATAAATAAAACTTTGGCCCAATAGTGGGGTCAGCGATCGATCTCTGGGCTCAGAGAAAAAAGGCTAGACAAGGTCGGGCAGAATGTTCTGTCTGTGTGCCTGTCAGCCAGCTTGCAGGACCCCAATGTGTGTGTATGAGCGTGTGCTGTATGCTGTGTGAAAGCCAGAACCTAGTCTTGAGCAGGCCAACAGGCTCATTAGCATTCCTAACCCATGGACCTCCACTGACAACTAGCAGAGGCGTCCTGCTCACCACCAGCCCTTCTCTTCTTTTGTCTTCAGATCTGGAAGATGGAAGAGAAAAAGATTTTTCAGTGGAAGTTGGAGTCTGAACTTCTCTGTGATTGTTGGATATTCAGTGTGTGTGTGTGTGTGTGTGTGTGTGTGTGTGTGTGTGTGTGCATTTGTGCATGTGTATGTGAGTATTTCCAGAGAGGCCTACCAGCATTTTGCACCATCTTTTAGTTTTCTTTTAATAACTTCTTTCTTCAAGAAGGAACTTTTTTTTCTTTTCTCTTTAAAGGTGTAACATGCTTGTTGAAAGTCCAAGTTTAAAGTTTAAATGAGAGATAAAATCCCATGGAAACATTTTGCCATTTCTCCTTGTTGACAAGGAGAGAGGTGGCTGTTTATGTGTTTGGCTCACACACACATGTGAAAGTGACCCTTGGTTAAAGATGGCTGGGACAGCGAGCAGGGCTGTTTGAGCTTCGTCTTTCTCCTGCTCTGGTTGGCTTTGTCACTCCCCATTGGAATAAAGTAAAGAACATTTTTCAAAAGTCCCACAGAATCTCACTTTCTATTAACTCAGGAAAACATAACTGTAAAATTATGCTCACTTGTGCAGTATTAATTGTCCTTCTGTTTATGGAGTGGGCTCTTTTTTTTTTTTAACTAGATCTCCCATAAACAAGTATGTACCGATGTTACTATCCTAGATTCTGTTCCTTGAACTCTATAGAGCTGGCCAGATTGTTTTACATTGGAGCATACAAGTTATTCCATGTTGACAGATGTTTGTCACTTAGTAACTTCTTTCCAGCCCCCCCCCCAACCTTCTTTCCAGCTCCCTTTGTTGTTTTAAAATATGCATGTCTCTCACTGGAATGCTAGTCACGAGTGCAAACTTTGTGTCCAACCTCCCACATGAAATGATCCTTTTAGAAGAAACTGGTATGTCTCAATCTGCACTTCGCTTAGAGCCTCTGGGTCCTGGCCACTCACTCACTGGTCCAGGATCCAAAATAACTCACCAGACACAAATTTCCAACTAAAAATCCCCCTGAATGTCTCCCAGGGAAGAAATATAGCTCCTATAATTAAAGGAGGCCACCGCCGAGGGGGAAAGCAGCCTGCAGCCAAAATCAAAGAAAGTAAGAGTTTTATTCATTTGCTGATTGAACCTGGATTGTCATGGCCAGCAAGCAGGTTCACCCACACTCAGGTCTGAGGTTTGTTCTGAGTGTACAGGTGAGAGGGGCAAGGGAGGAAGAAGCGGGAGGGGAGGGTGGCAAGAACTAAGAAGGGTAAGAGAGATCAGGCCAACTCTGAGAGGACGCGATCTCCGTGAGACATCACAGGGGGAGTTCCGATCACTAGATTTGAGTAATACGGGGTGGGGGGCTCAGAGGAGAGGAGAGTGTGATTATAGTAAACGCTTAAATATGGGGTATCATCAGAAAAGAGAAGACTTGAGCTGTTTTTCTCGGAAACAGTAATGTGACAGCAGGAAAATTATTAGCTATGCTGTGTGTGGCAATTTAGTATGTGGGGGGTGGACGTATGGAGGGGCGTACTAGAGAAAAGAAGTTCTGGGGTGCAAACCAAAACTGCCTGGGAGCCAGGAGTCCTCCAGCCGGCTTGGCAAAGGTTGATTGGGAGGTGTGGATGTGCACCCTTCCTCTTTGCACTTTATTTCCCCCGGTTTCATCCGAAAGACCTGATTCTTCCATTAGAACCCGCACAGGACCGTTTAGCTCCCAGGATGAAGAGCGGCTTCCCGCCTCATGGACCACCCCATAAAAGGGAGCGGTGCTGATTACAAGCCCCAGAACAGGAGGGTACCCTTGCTGGGCGCCTCATTTCTATTAAAAAGGCAAAAATTTAGCACTGATGAAAAACACATGAAATTTTTTTCTTCCTCTCTCTGAAACAGTCACTCTCTTTTCTGATGTGTAGTGACGTCAGCAATGCCTGCCCTATCCCCTTGGAGAGTAGGGAAAGGGGAGGAGGGTTGGAAGGGGAGCTGGAGAAAAGCTAGGGAAAAAGAGAAAGAGGATGTGAGACAAGAGGCAAGGGGTGCTGGGAGGGGATAGATAATGGAGACGTCCTTTCGACACTTTTCGGACGAAATCCCACCAAAAGTGGGGAAACCGATGTTTTCGCAGCTGGTGATTCAAAGGACACCTTTCCTTGCTCTCACCGATCTACATGTTCTAACATATGGAAAGCTTACAGGCCCTGCGCACTTATAGAAGCCGATAATGCATTAGCTCTCAGCAATATTTACAGCACCGCTTTTAATACACACCAGATGGTTCGCGACTGTGCCGCCCCAGCCAGCTCACTCCGCGGTTTTACTCGGCGGCACTTTGTTGCAATTACACTCCATGCTGAGACCAATTTTATTGGTGACCTATTTTTCATATTTGCAGCGTTTTATGTTAAAAACCACCTCTCTGGCCTTTTTGTAAAGGGCAACGCTCAGGAAAAGAGAGTTAGGACTGCGGTGCTGAGGAGCTGGAAAGGTGGATATTAATATTTATCATGATGTTACATAGCTCGGGTTTAAGTGAGCAAACCCGATAGACATAAGTACTCCGGTCATTATGTTTGCTCACTCTCCCCTGTTTGCCAGACCCCCACGGACTATCTAAGAGGCGCGCTTGCCTCGGAGTCAATACATTGGGCCATAAATATTGTATTTCATTAATTATCAGGCCACTGGCTTATCCTGGGCGCCCGGCATCCTCGAACGTCGCAGGGCAAATGAGGACGTTTCCGGAGCGTACTTCTAGGCTGGGAACCCCGCTGAAATTTCCGCGGTGCCTGGGAATTCCGAGCCCGGCAGGCCTAGGGCGGGAGCTGGGGGGGGGGGAGGAGCGGGGGGGGGGGACGGAGGAGGCGGGGCAGCCGGAGAAGGCCTCAGACGCCAGGAGCACTCAGTACCTGTTATCTTGCCACGCAGAAGGCCTCAGGGAGAATCCCATTTGGCACGCAGGGAAAGGCTTTCAACTTTATCTCCTGCCATGTAAATATCCCCGAGTGCCCGATGGGGGGGGGGACTTTGTTTTGTACCGAACAATATAAATATCCCATTTTCTACAGCACAGGTGCGCTCTTCCTTCGCAAACTCTTCTTTGTTTTCCTTCCTCGGTCGTTTATACTAACTCTTTATGCCCCTCCCCTGATTAAAAAAAATCCACAGATGTTTACTTTATTGATATAACCTATACCATGGTTAGGCCGAGAATAATATGTTTCAACTAACAGTCATTTAGCAAATAATAGAGGCGTCCTGGATGCCTTCCAACTCTACACATGTACTTGGTCATAAAATGATACGTGAAAAAATTAACATCTGCTTTCCGAAAATAAAGTGTGCCAAGTAGCTTTTTATGAATGCTTTCCTCATTTTAGAAAGAAATATGGAGAGATAACCTGGCGCCCAGATGTATAGCATATTTATAATAGTTTGGGGCTTAAAGGAAGCTTCGTTTCAAAACTGTTTTAAAAATTACTTAACCCTAGACATCTTTGAATTCTGAAGAGTATTTCGAATTTTACTACTTAAAGAGAAATTTACTGTAGTTTAATTGTTCACCAAGTCTTCCGCGTTGGTAAATCCAGCTTCGTGGCTCCCTGCAGAAGCATCTCAGCTCGGCACTGATTATTTCTCTGCTTTCCTCCAAGGTTCCCAAGCCCTTCAGAAGGAGAGTTGGGAAGTTTAGTTGTTTTTTGTTGTTGTTTAATTCCACTATTAGGAAATGAGGCCTACCTTTGAATTATTTCATTAGGATTTGGCCTTTTGGGGGAAGGGGTGGGAACTATAATCATTAGTGGCTTTTTATTATTTCTACAGTAAATGGCTTGAATGTTCGGCAGATGTTCCACTTAGAGCAGACCTGACCCTCTGTTTCCTCCCACGGAAGTCGCTTGAAGGCGCAGGGCCCATCCTCTGTAAGCATCAGATATACCCTTTGAAATTTCCACCCAGTTGCACAGACCATACTCTCATACACTTGCACACACACAGACACACACACACACACAGACACACACAGAGAGAGAGAGAGAGAGAGAGAGAGAGAGAGAGAGAGAGAGAGAGA